ATAACATCAGCAAAGAAGTTAGTAATAATGTAAGGGCTCCTACAACTTAAGATAACCTCTGACATCTTAAAATATCAGCAAAAGAATTTGTTAATAACAAGTTACATTGTCTTAAGGAGCTTGTAAAACCTTGAAAGGGCAAACCAATGAGAAGGGCCCTAATCTTTTAATAGACCCCAAAGTTCTAGAGGGCAGAGCCAGTTTTAACTAGCCCTAAGTAGGGCAAAGGGCACAGGCTTTTGGATGATGAGGGATGGAAGTGGCATGTCTAAGGGACATGAGATAGGTGGACTTGTAAGATTGTAACCCATAAAGGAATGGACCAATCCGGGCCTGGAAGGAGGGAGTTGCTGTTTAACAGTATAAAACTCTTTCTCGTTTCTGTAATCGGCGGGATCTCTTCCAAGAGATTTTGCCCGGTTCTTCCAAGAACCATAAAATAAATGATTTTTCACTCACCCCAAGCTTAGTTTCATTTGTAACTAGAAGGCTTTATTCCTCTAAGGCCTTGTTTCTAACACATATATAGTTATATATGATACATATGTGTAATATAACATATATGTGTACAAATCCAAGATATTATTCAGAGACCTATCCAACCACTCAACTTCCAGCAGTGAGAAGCTAGGAAGCTATGAAAGAATTGGGATTCTTTGGAGGGTCTCCTTTGTACTATACGTGTGGTTGTGCTTTTTCTGACTTAAAGTTCGATTAGTACAAATTATTGTGTTTTTTTGTTTTTTTTTCCTCCAGCTGAAAGCTCTGTAAGTGCTTAGTGAATCATCTCTCTAGGCAGGTAAATGTCATCGTTCCTGCCTACTCTGATGAGTAAATGAAGACACCCTCACATTATCCAAAAAAAAAAAAAGATTCCAAGTAATTTAGGGAAGAAGGACACCTGAAATAGCTGCCAGCCAAGATGACACACGGTCCCATGAGCTGCGACCACTCATCATCTGATCTTTGGTTTCAATAGTTCTATGCTAAGTCTATGACTCAGTAGCTGTATGACCTTAACCAAGTCATTTGATCTCTCTGGGTACTGGTTACCTCATCTGTGAAATAAGATAATAACCCTTGTACTACATATCTCACAAGCCTGTGACCATGAAATGATAAAGCCAGCTTTAGATACTTAGCTAAAGTATACAAAGGCCTGGATTTAATTCCAGCGCTGCCTCTAATCAGCTGAACAACTTTAGGCACCTCGCCAAACACTAATAATTCACATTTCTATAATCGCAAGATTTACAAATCATTTTCTCACAACAAACCTGGGAAGAAGATGGTTATTGTTAATCCCATTTATGGAAGAAGAAATAGAGGCTCAGCCAAATTAAGGTACTTGGTAGAATCCAGATGTCCCAACCCTTCCCAATACAATATGCTGTCTCTTTAAGCCTTCACTTCTTCATCTGAAAATAGAGTGCTAGACTAGAAGATATCTCTTAGGATAATAGTTTCAGAGGCGAAAGGGATTTTAGAGACCATCTAGTCCAATTCTCCCATTTTTATAAAGAGAGAAATGAGAGTCCCAAGGAAATTGATCCATACATGCAGTGACAGAGGTGAGGTTGGAACCCAGGACAACCAATCTTTCAGGCCCCATACAACTCTAACACTTCTGATGATGCTATTATTGTCATTCTTATAATTCCAAGGAGACTGCCTTTCAAATGTTTAATCAATCAGTCAATCAATCAAAAAGGTACTTATTAAGAGCCTGCTATGTGAAAGATGCTATTATGGAAAATACAAACAAATATTAGGAATGATGATCTTGGCCTCAGGGAGTTTACAATCTAGTTGAATTTTGACAACACTTTGAATACTTTAAACACTCCAAGAATCTATGATTTTATCACAGCTCCAGTCGTTTCCCTACAAAGTCCTATTCTGATTCATCATGCGACGGGCATGGGAGCGGAATTCAGTCTCCACCATGCTGGAAAGGAGTAAAGTACTGTCCTGGCGATGATTATATCTGCTTTCTAAGGCCAAGCCTAGGAAAGCACAAAGGATCACATCACCAGTAGGCTAACCACCTGGAAATTAATTTTTTGTTTATAGCCACTCCTGAAACAAAGAAAATACATAGAGTGGGCTTCAGTCCCATGTGATTTCAGTCCTCTAAGTTAGAGAAGCAGATTGGTGGGAAAAGGGAAAGAGTGTTAATAATCACATTAAAAAATAAACATTAACAGAGCATTTTTGAGATGCATGTGCAATGAAGATTAAACAGACATACTATTGAAAGGAGTGAGTTGTGTGAATCTTCACATTCTCACCATGAAACCAGAAGACAAAAGAAAATTGCAGCTAAATGTAAGGATGATTCACTGGTTCTCATTGGAGAGGTAAATAAAGGACCTGACAGAGTTAATTTTATCATACAACCAAAGGCAAAAAAAGGCATTATTTCATTGGCCATTTGGTCATTTTGCGTTTCAGTGTTCATGATATAGTTATGGGTGAGAATAATTGAAACTTATGTGTCAACATATGTTGCAGAAGATGAAGAGATTAAGAAATTCTGTGAAGAATTTGAAGACTCACCAAATTAAATCAAGATACATTTTGATATTTGGTGACTTCAATGCAAAGGCAAAGGGTAGTGTGAAAATAAATGTTAGAAAATACAATTAAGGAGTAAGAAAAGAGGCCAGAGAATAGGAGCATTCACAGAAATCTCACATATATCAATAAATCAATTTATCTATAGATATAAATATACACATATCTATAAATACAGATAGATCAAGGTCCTTTCTTGAAGATGTTGGATACAGCAAGTACCAAATAACATAACAAAAATTGAAATTTGTAAGATTTTTATAGGAAATAACCAACTGCTCAGTCATGAATGAACTGTATAAATGAACGTCCACTGACTTAAGACAACTGTTAAAATCAATGTCAAACGATAACAAAGAGAAAATACATGCCATGCAAATGAGATTTCAACCTATTTCAATTAAGTGTTGAAACAAAAAAATGGGAAATGGGTACAAAAACACACATTGACATGGATTATAACAATTCTGAATTTTAAACTATATAAATCAAGTGCTATAATGAGAAGACCCAAAGAACCTCAGGAGACTAAATTGCCTCAGCCAGCAAAGTCTTGACTTCCTTGCCAAGCAGAGCAATATAGTAGCCAAAGGCAACACTGGTATCGAAAAGCAAAACAAAACAAAACAAAACAACTTGTTTATAAAATCTAACAGAGAAGAAAGTTGAAGAAAGCTTAAGGAGATATCCAACTAATTAAAGTCAACTCAAGAACATTTAAGGATGAAATTGGAAAGCCAACAAATGGCCCAAAAAGTGGGAAAGATTGACAAAGATTTTTATGACAAAAACTTTTCACTATTGAGAACAGTTGAGTTACTACACTTGTACTATAATCTCACAATGCTAGATGCTTCACAGAAAAAAGTCTAAATTACCCTGAAGAAAACAAAGATGGGTAAAGTGATGACAAAAGTGAGGTTACAATCCCATCACTACCATGCAAAAGATGGGCAAGGTCACTTTCAGTTTCTGGGATCCAGTTTTCTTCTCGGTAAAAAAAGGACAATAATAGTTACACAATTCACCTCACTCCTTATTGTCACATGTGTGATTTATCAGCCTTAAAGCTTTGTAGAAATAAAACTTGTTCTGAATATTCTATCCTCGAGGCTGCCCGACCAGAAGCTTTTGCTGTAATCTCGGGTCTCCAGTGGCATGACCATAAATTCTGCAAAACTTTGTTTCCCTTTATCACCAAGGACAAAAGGGAAGTGATGATAAGGAAGAAGAGAGTGATGAGGTAGTGATGAGGAAGAGATGGAGAGAGTGAGGAGAAAAAGATAGGGAGGGTGAGGAGGGAATGAGGAGGAAGATGGAAAGGATGATTGAATGGGGAAGAAGGAATGTGAGGAGGAAGGGATGGAGAGACTGATGAGAAAGTAAAGAGGAAAGACAGGAGAAAAGATGAGAAAACAGGGGAGAAGAGGAGAGGAGAGGAGAGGAGAGGAGAGGAGAGGAGAGGAGAGGAGTGGAGTGGAAAGAACAATGGCAGAGAGAGACAGAGACGGCGAGACTAAGAGCTAAATGGAGCATTCGGTACAGAATTCCAGAGTTCCAGAGCTGCGGCCATAGTCCTGCTGTGTTTGAAGAAGAGAGGACATTGCATGGCTGTACTGACTAGGATTATGTGCTTTTCAGAAGTTTAATAGGAGGGCTCAGGAGAAACTCAAAGAAAAGCATAGGATTTAGAGGCATATTTGCAGTGAATACAACAGGACTCTGGGGCTATCAGGAAGCCTTCTATCCTCTGGGTTAAATAACAAGTTAGGTTGAACTTAGAATCTAAGAGCAAACTGCATTACCAAGAGATCTTAGTGGTCAGCTGGTCAAACCCTGTATTTTACTGAAGAGGCAAATGGAACCTGGAGACTTCACGGGGCTGAACAAGGTGCCTCGTGGCAGAGCCTGAGCCCCGGCACCAGCTCGCCCTCTGGACCTCTGTACAATGATGGGGCAGACAGGATGATCCCTAGGGTCTCCCCCGGCTCCAGCTCTCAGCCAACCCGGGCCTCTGAAGCAGCATGGAGGGAGGTGCCACGAGGGAACCCCGTCAGCGAATCAGAAACTTTTGCCCAGCGCTGACTCAGGCTTCCTGAGCGCTCCAGCTCCCGGAGCTTTCCAGCTCCCAGGTCGCTGAGTGGTGGAGGCAGCGGGAAGGGGGCGGGACGTAACCTGACGGACGGCTGGATCCGGCCTCTAAGCACACGGCGCCCTGTTGCAGTGTTCGGAAGGCCGGCTCTGAATGGAACGTCGAGGCGGGGAGGGGCGGGGTCTGCGGAGCGCCTGGGTGGATTGTGCTGCTAGCCTGCTCTTCAGCCAGTCTGCGTTCGGCTGTCGCGCTGCCTGCCTCAGCTGGTGCTGCTCCTGCTGCTCGCGCGGGCTGGGGCCGCGGCTCCTGCGGCCGGGCGCACGCAAGCAAAGCTCAGGCTCCCGAGCCAAACCTCGCGGGCGGCGGGAGAGCCGGGCTTCCCAAGGGGGCTGACTCCTCCCGCTGGGCTGGGTAAGTTTCGTCGCGCGGGCAGAAAAGAAAATGGTAGTGGGGGGCACCTCGTAGGGAAGACTTGGAGGGGCTGACACCCTTACACTTAAGCTTTTATTGCTTCTATTCCATAGCGCCTTCTGGGTTACAAAGCTCTTGCCTCTCAATAGCCCCATGATGTAGGCAGTGGGTTTATGTTTGCCCCCACTTTACAGATGAGGAAACTGAGGCTCAGGAAGGTGATTGTGATCTGCGGGCAGCCACACGGTCGTCCCGATTCAAAGTCCAGCACTGTTTACATCAAGCCCACCCCCTTCCCTGGCATGTTTCCAGGATCTTAGCATTAGAGCTGAAAGTGACCTTAAAGATTACTTTGTATCTTTAGGACCAATCACAGTTGCCTTAATACATGCTTGTTGAATTGAACCCCTTCGTTTTGCCGAGGTGTTGCCAGGGATGCTTTGGCGGTCAGGTCGGGGTTTGGGAATTGCATCCGTCCCTGACCTCTTCCCACTAAGGGCATTTTTTAAGCGGGCGAGTCCTGAGAATGCTTCTGGTTTGTGTCTATGCCTGAGGTATGCCTGGCTTCCAATAGGGGATGGGGACAAGGGGGAAGGGAGAGCAAGAATCTCTCCCAGGTCTGTACATCCCTTCTCTAAAACAGCCTCAGCACTGTCGGAGCTGCCCTAAGCTATACTCTGTTATCGGTCTCTCTTGTGCTCAGGGGGACTCTCCATCCTTCTATTTCTGTCCCGCTCGAGGGGCTGTGAGTTAGTCTTAAAAGATCAGGTTGTTGCAGACCAAGCTATAGGGCTTTCGACCATGCCTCCCCTCTCAGCCCTTTGATCCTTGACTCGTTAAACTACCCGAGGGCGTGATAGGAGGAGGAGGCTGCTTTGCTAATCGTCCTGTAAGTAATGGTGTCCCTAGTAAAGAAAGAGTGGGAAACAGAAAGCTAGAAAACTGGTGGGTGTGGTTAGTTGCATTCTGGAGACTGGAAATCATAGGAGTGGGACCCTGGGATACTCAAAAGAACACTTCTGGGTTGATTCATCCTCTCTCTGCCTCTCCCTAGACTTTTTTCTCAACTTAATTCCAGCGCCTTCCCTTTGTTAATTATTCCTTTTAATCCTGTATATAGCTTGGTTGTATATTTTTGTTTGCATGTTGTGTCCCCCATTAGATTGTAAGCTCCATGAGGGCAGGGTCTGTCTTTTGCCTCTTTTTGCATCCCCAGCACTTAGAACAGTATCTGGCATGTAGCAGGTGCTTGAAAAAGCGTTTATTGAATTGAATTGATGCTGAATTTTCCAGAATGGAGAATAATAGAGACACCCTCAGTTTCTCTAACTGTAAAATGAGGGAGTTATATCCAGTGGTCTAGAACATAACTTAGCTCTGAATCCTGTAAACAGTAGCTGAGATTATATTGTATTTTTTCTCCAATCTCCTTTCTTTTAAGGTATCCCCTTTGCCAGCATTTTAAATTCAACCTAATGAATGTAGTGTTACCAGGGCTTTCTTCCTACTCTGTCTCCTTTTCAAGTTTTTCTGGGTGGGTTTTTTTTTTGTTTTTTGTTTTTTTTTTTTTTTGAGCAGATGCTGAACTATTTTATTGGGCCTCAGAACAGAAAACATGCTCAAGTATGGCTTGATTCCATTCCTGCTGTGTCAGTGATGGTTTAGGGTTTCATTGGGTTGACTTTTTCCATGATAAAACTGCTTTGGTGGAGGAAGGGGAGTGAGAGAGCGTCATTATGCAGTGGAAAGCCCTGCTTTTGGACTCAAAGCACTGCTTTCATATCCTATCTCTGCCACTGGTGACCTAGGTTACCTTGGACAAATCATTTTATCTCTCTGCCCCTCAGTTTCCTAGAGGATCCCTACAGTACCTGCTAGCTCTAAATTTATGTTTCCATGATCAGAAAATTCCAGTTTATCAATACATGCTCTCTTTTGGTCTATACTTGTGATTCATAGGATCATAGACTTTACAGAGGGAAAAACCAAGGCCCTAAGAGGTTGAATACCTTGCTTAAGGCCACAGAGTTAGTAAATAGCAGTCAGATTTAAAACCAGGTCCTTGGACTGCAAATCAGTGTTTTGTTTTGTTTTTCCCCATTCTTCCATACCCCCTCTCCCTTATTTCATGTACTTTTACCAAATTAGGGTAGACAGTTTCCTCCTCTGTAAAATGACTAGATGATCTTGAAAGTTCTTTCCTGTTGAATTCCAAGGGTCTAATTTTTGGTTCCCTGTGAGTTGCATGTGATTTAACTGCCCTGTCCCCTGCCTAAGCTCTTAATACTGGAGAGCAAAAATAAGCAACTCAGATTGACCAAGGACATTATAACCTTTTCTTACAGAGAAGCAAGTCAGAGATAGAGCACAAGTCCCGTATCCTGTTCATTGGAAGGACCCTCTGAATTTATAAAATACGCTGCCACAGGGGTTCTCCAAAATGAAGCCTTTTGTCCCTTGACCACTATACTGTGCATTGGTCAGTGAGCATTCCCTATGTTGTAACGTAGAGAAATTGATAACAGCTTAACACCAATTGTTATCTCATATGCCAAGGTATTATCTTGCTGGGGAAGGAGGGATGTAAAATCCTAGACATAATCTTTGAGAATGTATCAATTTCCATAGTTAGTGTCCTGGGGAATGTTATTTTTGATGTTCATATGAGAAGTATGCCTGTTGGTTTCCTGGGGAAGATTTTCACCCCTTTGCCACTCTAACTAGTACCTGCATGGTTATAGACAGTATTTCTGTCTTCCAGGGACTAGCCAAGCAAAGCTGCAGATTTATCACTAGCTGGACCTCAGGTTAAGGATGTCTTCGGCCAGGATTCCTGTGGCATCTCAGATCTATCTAGTAAGACAGGGATGGGGAGAGAAGGATGAGAACTACATTGGTGGAAAGGATACCAGCACGTGCCAAATCACAGATGCCCTAAGTGCTCAGCTACCTCTCCTCCTAGTTCAGGAACGCATTAACTGCCCACACCCCAGAACCTGTTGTTTTTCTTGTTCAATCTTCCCCATTTAAGAGGAGCTAGACACAAAGAAATTAACCACAAACAGGAACTTAAGTAAAAATTAAGCTGACAGGGAAAACGAGGGTCCATTCTCCCCTATTAAGCTCCTTGAAGGCAGGGACTATCTCTTGTCTCTTTATGTTTCCCAGGCACTTAGCCCAATACCTGACACATAATTGGGGCTTAATAAATGTTTATTCATTGAACTCAATTTCCTACTTCTACATTCACGTTCCTGAATCAGATGATGATGATAAAAACAATAATAAAAACTATATTTACATAGAACTTTAAAGTTTGCAAAGTTTTTTTTGTTCTGCTTTTTTTTTTTCCCACACGATACTCACACAGTGGATAGAACACTGAGCTTGGAGTAGAAAGATTCGTCTTCCTGAGTTCAAATCTGGTATCAGACACTAGCTGTGTGACTGAGCAAGTCACTTAATCCTGTTTGCCTCAGTTCCCTCATCTGTAAAAATGAGCTGGAGAAGGAAATGGTAAACTATTACAATATCTTGGCCAAGAAAACCCCAAATAGGGGCATGAAGAATTGAATACCACTGAAACAACTCAACAGCAAATATTTCTTGATCCTCACAATAACCCGGAAATGTAGGTGTTATTATCTCCATTCTACAGATGAGGAAGCTCAATTTGAGAAAGTTTAGATGACTTGCCCAAGATCATACACCTAGTAAGTGTTTGTTGTGGGATTCGAACTCACATCTTCTTGATTCTGAATCTAACTCACTATATACTGTGCCACCTAGCTGCTTCATGTTGGGAATGTATTCCCTATCTGTTCTTAGATGAAAATTCTAGAATTAGAAGGAATGTTAGAAACCATGTAGTCCAACCCTCTCTTTTCACCTAGGAGGAAGCTTTGGCCCAAGGAAAGTGATTTGCCAAGAGTCATACAGATAGATGGTCAGTGTCAGAGGCAGGATTTGAACCTGGGACCTCTGACTCCAGTTCACTTTCCTAGTTTCTTTCAAGGTTTAACTTGGGTGCTATGACCTCTACTTTCCCAGTTCCCTCAGTTGAAAGTCTTCTCATTCTTCCCAGATTTTCCTAGAGGAATTGGGCTGGATTTCTTCTTTGACCCATCACGCCATACCTTGTAATACACTTAAGTATACACGTAGTACTTTTCTCTATTCATACCCCAGGTCCTTTGCTCTTTCCTCTGCATCACAATGACTCAACAATTTACTATTTAAAAAAATCAAAAACTGAAGTCTTTGCCACAGTATTTAAGTCAACGCACTAAGTTTGATATGGAATAAAAGCATAACTAAGACACAGAATGGGAAGGCCCTGGTAACATATTCTAGTTCAGGCTTAACACAGGTATACTTTTTTTTTTCGAGTTGGTGTTTTGGGCAAGTTACTTAGCTTCTGTTTGCCTCATTTTCCTTATCTGTAAAATGAAGATAATAATAGCGCCTGCCTCCCAGGGTTACTGTGAGAATCAAATAAGATGATATGCTGCCCGACATAGAGTAAGCACTATATAAATGATGATGATGGTGATGATTTGGTTTGTACCATCACTGTTCTCTCCCATCTCTAATTCATCTTTCATACCTTAGGTAAGTTGCATCCTCTCTCTAGGACTCAGTTTCCTCATCAGTAAAATAAGGGGATTGGACCAAATCAAACCAAAATTCTCAACCACACAAGGATGGTGTAGATTTGCCAGTTTAGATGAAGTGTGTTCTAGGAAATGAACCAGAAATAAGGTTGGAAAAATAGATTGGAGCCAGATTACAGGGAGGTCTAAGGAGTTCACATTTTAGGCATTAGTCATTAAAGGACCATGCATGGTTTTTGAGTGAGGGAGTATATTAGTCAGATTTGGAGATTTGGGGGACATAGCCATTTTTCTGTTTTTAAAATCCTGAGTGTGTCTATGTGGATATGCTCACTAACACAAGCTTATGTGCACTCCTGTCTTGTGGTGATGCTGAGTCCCTCTTTTGACCTTTGAAGCAGATCTGTGGGCATGGGTGATTCTCGAATTTCCCCACAGATGTTAGGACTATGGGGCTTTATTCTGAGGAATACAAAGGGTGAGCAAGCCCAAGCCATCTTTGGATGGGGACAGTTTAGATAAACATAAATACAGGAGTTGTTAGGATTCCGTTGGAGTCAAAGATTACAGTCATGGGTATTCATTAGTCACTCTCTAGCTGTTACTGTGTGCAATTCCGTTTACCTTCCTTGAGTGAAGGGACTAATAGCATCAGCCTGCGTTAGGGAGTAAGGTGGCGAGAGCACGGTTCTCTTGTTTAGTCATTGTCCAACTCTTTGTGACCCCATTTGGGGTTTTCTTGCAAAGATACTAGAGTGGTTTGCTATTTCCTTTTCCAGCTCATTTTACGGATGAGGAAACTGAGGCAAATAGGGTTAAGGGACTTGCCCAGGGTCACACAGCACGTAAGTATCTAAAGCTGGATTTGAACTTAGGAAGATGAGTCTTTCTGACTCCAGGCCCAGTGCTCTGTGTAGCACCTAGTTGCCTAGAGCATGGTACTAGGAAGATTATATTGGTAAGTGGTTAAGGTTTTGGTATTTTAAAGCTGAAAGGGACTAGAGTGGTCATCTAACCTTTTGTTGTAATGGGCCTCTCTTTAGGGCAGTCTGTTGAAGCCTGTGAATAGCTTCTCAGAATTATGGTTTTAAATTCCTTAAACAAAATGCATAGGAAACCTCCTCTATGCAGTGCACTGTGCTGTGTACCAAGGGAGATAAAAAGATAAGTGAACTGTAGTCCCAGCCTTCATGGGGCATATATTCAAGGAGTGCTGGCTTTCCAGGGCATTTAAAAACCTCAGTTTTCTTCTTTATCTGTGAAATTACCATTCTGATGATCATTCCTATCTTTTTAGAAAAATAATTTTTGAGTTCTTTCTTCTGAATACTCTGTACAGTTTAAATTTGTAGTGACATTCCAGCCAGATTAGACTATGAGCTGTTCCCTGTACTTGAAACACTGTCTCCTCCCTCTGTATTTGCACAACCCACCTCCTGCCCCCACAAGACAGTGTGTTTCAGTAGAAAGAGTGTCGGATTTGGAAACAAAGGACTTGGGGTCAATTCCTGGCTCATTCCCAAGGAATTTACACACCACTGTGGTCTTGAAGTTGGCTGGGACACTGATGTGATGTGATTTGAACTCAGGTCTTCCTGCCTCCAAGGCTTGTCTTGTACCCATGATAATATACTAACCTTTCCAATTTATAAGTGAGAGAGAGGAAGTAAATTATACCAATTCACAGATTAAGAGTAAGGGACTAGAACCCAAGTCTTTTGATTTCATGTAGAATTGGAGTAGGAACAGCAAAGTCCTATTTTTCCCCTGGAGCAGTGAGGCCCCATCCTTTCCCCATATCCTGATTAGGCAAGCCTTTCCCCTATGTTCTTAGTCCTAAATGCTGAGCAAGCAACTACTTCCCCATATGCTGAGCAGGCAACTACTTCCTCCATATTGCTGAATAGACAACCTCACCACTCTGTAGCCCACCCTATCACCAGTGACCTGGTGGTCAGGGGACTTTCCCAAGACTTCACAAGCTCAATAAGACTCCTCAATACCCGATAGTAACTTACGTGATGTCAAAGTCGCCATTTACATCTTATGTATATGGTAATGAAGGTACTCTCAAGAGTGAAAGTATGGCTATTTCAAGATAGCCACCCGGAAGACCCAGTACAGCGCAGGCGCAAGTCTTTTTTTGCTTGTGTAGCACAAAGAATATGCCGTAGCAAATTTCCCTAAGTTACTCCCCCTTCAGCTCTGATATAAGCAAATCCCCATTCCCCTTCCACCCAACCAACCCGTATCCTGAGCTGCCTGGTTCCATTTGCTTTTACGACAATAAAGCCCTGCTTGGAAGGACTCTGGCCTTGGTATTCTTACCGACTCTGAACTAGCTGTCCCACTGCGGAATCATACTAACCATGGTCAACTTCCTATGAACATAACCAGTTGTCTGTGCCTGGGTGGGCAGTGACAGCACACCACTGCCATGCTCGTTGCTTATTTTTATCTTCTAAACAGCTGGGTGCGTGTTTTCTGAAATTCTCTGGTTAGTAAATATAGTTTCACAGTGATTTCTGCAGAAGTTGCTTCTTCACGTGGCTGACATTCTTCCAGGACTTGAATCCATTTAAAGGTTGGGAATAGCATCTTCCCTCAGTGCCCAGGTTTGGCCTCCAGGGTCTGTGTTCCAAATGGTCCCTTTAAAAAATATTACTGTGTTCATACGAGTAATTTTTTGTTGTAGTTGTTCTTGTAACAGTGGTAGTATTTTCTAAGATTAAGTGAACTTATTTGCATGGTGGTCTCACAAAAGGGGATAAATTTGAATGAGAGGCGATTCCTATTGTAAGTCACAAAGACGGCTATGGAAATAGGGAGCTGAGGACAATTTTCAAGGTTATATATTGTGGTAGAAACTCCATATGAGAGACAGTGGATTAAATCCATTGTGGCAGTATGGTAGAATGGAAGACTGGGCCGTCGACTTAGAATCAGAGGAGCTGGGGTTCAATCCTGTCTCTAGCTCTTGCCTTCTGTGTGACCTCATATTTGGATGTGATATAAAGAGCACTGAATTTAGAGTGAGAGGACCTCACTTTGATTCTTGGCTCGGATACTTGTTTGTTATCTGTTCTCAAAGACGACCATGCCATTAGGGAGGTGATGCCACAACATGCAAGTGAATTGGATTTGAGGGACGAGAGCTGTGCAAAGTCACCAGCCTCAGTTTCTCCTCTGAGCCGTCTGGGTCCAGTGGCAAGACATAGATCAGAACTACTGGAGACCCCCCTCCACCCTGCTACTTACCTATGTGACCAAAGACAAATCATTCAACTTCCCTGAGCCTCGGTTTCCTCCATTATAAAATGAAGCAGTTGAACTAGATGATGTTGGAGGTGCTTGAGATGTGTGATCCTGAAGTGACCAGAGTGGTCTCCCTAAAGCATACGTGTGAATACGTCACCTCCTCCGTGCCTTCAGTAAACTCCACTGACTCCCTAACTAAATATAAAATCTGCTCTTTGGCTTTTAAAGCCCTTCCCAACCTGGCCCCTTCCTACCTTTCCAGTCTTTTCACACTTTACTCTTCTTCACATATCTGACAGTTAAGCAACACTAACCTTCTTGCCTGTGGCACTGCCATCTGGAGAATCCGTGCCTCTTCACAGTCTGGCCCCCATCCCTGGAACATTCTCCCTCCTCACTTCCACTTCCTGCCTTCCTTCAAGACTCATATCAAATCCCACCTTCTTCAAGAAGCCTTTCCTGGTCCCCTTCCCACTGCTAGTGTCTTCCCTCCAAGATGACCACCCATTTACGTGGTCTATTGGAGAATCTTGTCTATATGCAGTTCTTTGTTTCTGTTAGAATGGGAGATCCTCGAGGTCAGAGAATGATTTTGCCTTTCTCCGTACCCCCAGCGTATAGCACAGTGCCTGGCACATAATAAATGCTTAATTAAACCTGTTGACTCACTGCCTTAGTCTGAGATTCTGTGATTTCAAGTTCAGCTTTCTTTCTGTTTTGTAACTGAGTTACTCTGATTGTCATGGATATAATATGTGTGTGTGGATTTTTTTTTTCAGAAGGAGGAAAATGCTCCAAATAGATTAAGAGAGTTGGGGGACTGTGGTTTTGTCCTCCTTAGACGCTTGTTTGTCTGTTTCAGATAGCATGGAGCCCGACCCAGCTCCATCGAGTCCATCTCACCTCCAGTCACAACATGGGCGGTCCCAGCTCAATGCAGCTGCTTCTTCAGAGCCAAGAGAAGAGGTTAAAGATCAGAGGCGTGGGCCTCAATCAGGAGATGGCCCATCCTCGTCACCCCCGGCTGCCCCAGCTGCTCCAGCTCCTAGGCATCCCGCTAGCCAGGAGGGAGTAGAGAAAAATGGTAAGAAGACATAGAAAACTACTATTAAGCTGATTTTTTTTTGTCTTAAGCGTGTTCCTTTACTCTGAAATTTTCTCTTCTAAATTTCCCTTATGCAAATGTACTTGTCTTTTATGGGCTGTTCTCTCTGCGTTGTAGGATGATAACTAGCTAATTTGATAAATTAGCCCATGCCAGTGTTGCTGGGTACAGAAATGTAAACAAGACTGTTTATTATCATGAGCTCTACAACTGGGAGGACTTTAGAAATCATTGCATACAATATCCTGATATTACATATGGGGAAACTGAGGCTCAGAGAGGGATAGCTATTTATCTTAGATATCACGCAGGTGGCAAATAGCAGAGTCAGTATTTGGACCCAGGTCTCCTGCTGCCATATTCAATGAGTGCTCTTTCAAAGCCACCAAGATAACTTACAGTCTGTACAGTAAACTTTGACCCCCTAGAAAACCTACTTTTTAATCCAGAGGAGTAACCCCTTGAGGGATGAAGTTCAATGGCTGTGGTGGGCTGGCTTAGTATGAAAGAAGATGATTTTTAGGGTATGGAACCATCAGATCATGCTGCCCTACATGTAGGTCCTGCTCTCCCCTTGAAGAATAATTTTGATACATACAGGGTGTCCTAAAAGTCTTAGTGCAGTTTGAAGCTTTAATAGTTTGCCATCCTCCTTGTCACCAAGGCAAGCAGCTCATTGGCATCCCCTGCTGCTCACTTGTGCTCTCCTCACATTTCCAGTCTGCTGTCCAGTGTTGTTCATTCAGTACGTATCTCCTCTGTCTCCTTCTCTCTCCACTCACACAGCCACCAGCCACCCTGGTATGGCTAGACCCTCATCATCTCACCTCCTAGTTGGTTAGCCTGCCTACAATCTCTTCTCCACTCTAATCTGTCTTCCACTCAGCTACTGACGTTAAGCTACTAAAGCTTAAAACGGCACTGAGACTTTTGGGATGCCCTGAATATTGGTGGAAGTTAAGAAGGGAGTGTATGACCTTATGGTCTCTAAGGTGTGATACAATCTGTAAAAAACGGAAAGCTTGCTGAATTTGGAGTCTGAGACCGGAGGTCTGAATCCCAGTCAACCTCACCAGCTGGGTGACCTTGGGCAAAATATTTCCCCTTTTACCAAAAGGTGGATTAAACGAGGATGACAGTAATGACCGACAGTTCTGTGAAACTTTGAGGCTTGAAAAATGCCTCAGACATTATTTCATCTGAGCCTCACGGTTTTGGGAAGTAAGTACTACAGATCTCCTTGTTCTTTTTTATGGAGAAACTGAGGTTTCCAAGTGAAGGGCCCTGCCATTGGTCCCCCAGTCAAATCCCTGTGGTCTGAATTGTGTGATCTCTCTGTGTTATTGTGATGCTGGAATGAGATCATGTGAAAACAGCTCTCACATCCAACTCCTTTCCACTCACGTAGCTTAAATTCCTCATTCTTTACCTATTGCCTGGATTCTCCCAACAGCCTCTTAACTGGTCTCTCAGCTTCACTGTCTCTCACTGCTCCAAGCTGTCCTGTACACCATTGCCAAAGTGATTTTCCCTAAATGCAGAATTGACCATGTGACTTCCCTTCTTATCCGACTGGAGTGTCTTCTTATTTGCCTCTACAACAGAATATAAAGCCCTTTGTTTAGCTTTTAAAGCTGTACACAATCTGACATCAGCCTGACTTTCCTATCTTGTTAAACATAACTTCCTTTCCCAAACTCTGCATGCCAGCCACGCTGGTCTTCTCTCTGTTCTTAACTCAACATCAGTCTTTTTTTTTTTTAAGTCACATCCAACTCTTCAGGACCCCATTTGGAGTTTTCTTGGCAAAGATACTGGAGTGGTTTGCCATTTACTTCCCCAGCTCATATTACAGATGAGGCAAACCGGATTAGGTGACTTGCCTAGGGTCACACAGCTAGTGAGTGTCTGAGGCTAGATTTGAACTCAAGGAGATGACTCCATCTCCTACCTTCACGTCCTGACTTGTCTTCTATGCCTGGAGGCCATCTCTGGTCATCCTGACCTGTATCTTGGCAGTGGAGCCAGATGGCTCCAGAGGGGAAAGTGAGGCTGGTGCCCTTGCACAGCCCTCCCTCACTTAAATCCAATTCACTTTTATGTCATGGCGTCACCTTCCTGATGTCATGGTCCTCTTCGAGAACGAAGGACAAGCAACAGTTAGAACAGCAAACCTGGAATGCCTCCTCTCTTCCCCTCTGCCTCACTGGGGCCTTCTTTTCCTTGATGCAGTTCAGTCCTTGTCTTCTTCATGAAGCCTTTCCCAGCCCTCCCCACCATCACCACCAACTTCTGGTGCCCTCCCTCCTGGGCTGCCTCACACTGAACTAATGAGTTTATATTGGTATTTATTGATTTTATATTCACATTGCATATATATACTTGTCTCCCTCATTAGATTAGAATGTAAGCTTCTTCGTGGGAGGGATTGTTTTAATCTTTGTACTTGTATTCCTAGCGCCTGGAACGTAACAGGCACTTCATACCTACTTTTGATTAATGAGAAGAGCTTTGTAAGCATCACACAGAAGTAGGGTCATATTCGTTCCCCCTTGTTTGGGCCCACCAGCTATAAGAAGAAATGCTAAGGCTGTAGCATGAGAGTCTCACCAAAGATAGTCTCTTTGCCTTTGGGATGAATTCAAATTTTAATTTTCATGGAAGAAGATTATCAGATTGAGCTTCAGTCACTCCTCTCTCTGTCGTATCTTGTTGTTTATCATCTGGTTTTCATGAGCTGTTGTCTCAGGGTTGTGATGCAGAAAAGAACCTTTTTTATTTTGGTAGAAGGAAGCCGTATCCTTTGATGCTAAGCCTCTGGTCACGGTGGCCTCTCATTGAGTGAGGTCAAAATGATTCAAGCCAGCCTTGGCCAATTGAGTTCAGTTGTGCCCCTTTTAAAAGTTCCTGCCCTCGCATGGATACTTCACATCCCACTTATTCCTGCAGCCTGTCATCATTGCTGCAGTTACATAAGCAAATTCTCCTGTTCTTAGTATTTAGCTGTGTACTCTGACCAATATCAGAGGATCAGGGGGTTTAGCGTCGAAAGGAACCTTGGCAAATATCTTATTCACGTCTTTCTCCTTCCTTAAAGAAGGCCTCATGGCAGAGGCCATAAGAAGGATTCCTGCCCTGAACAAGAGGGTACATTGGATCCCTTCCAAGGCCTGTTTTTAGGCTAGTAATTCTCAATGAATTTTTTATTTCAGTTTCAGGGAAGGGATAGAGTTCTTCAGGGGTAGGAAGGCATTACTGATAGATTAGAAATGAGCCTTGGAGAAACGCAATGTTGAACAGGGGAAGCAAATTAGCCCAGCTGGATGAGAGTGGTCATTTGGTGGAGGGTCAAAGAAATTAGAATAAGGAAAGAGACCTTGGAGCTCATCCAGACCAATCCCCTCATTTTATAAATGACAAAACCAAAGTCAGAAAGGTTAAGTGATTTGTTCTGTAGGTTTACACGAGTAATTAAATAACAGGGCTAGAATTTGAACTCAGATCTTTTAATTTTAAATTCATTGCTCTTTTCCTTTCCCCACCCTTCTCTGTCAGATGACCAAGGTAGATTGATGGTGGATGACGACCAATATGTAAGACACAGCTGGCTTGAAATTCATGGTGGTGGTTATAGTGATACTACTTCATGTTTTATATATGGTTAATAAACCATATGATTCTGGTTAGGCATTATGGTTAGAAAGTGCTTTGCGTATATCAACTCAGGGTTCACCAGATCACAGTTGATCTCTTTGATCGTGCTGCCCCAACTGCCAAATAAAGTGTATCTAATAATTTTACTTTGTTGTGTGTAACACACCAGTGATTAATCCTTTAAACTTGATGTAAAAAAACACTATTGTACACATTAGTGGCACTGTGTGTGTGTGTGTGTGTGTGTAAGGAAAGAAGGAAGGAGGGAGAGAGAAGGGGTAGAGGGAGGGACAGAGAGAAAGAATTAGAGAGAGAGAGAAATGGGGGTGGGGGACAGAGGGCAAAGAGTGTTGAGCTTGAAGATTCAAGACACTTAAAATCTCAGCTTCAGTCCCAGCTCGCGGTAACTAACTAGAGGCAAGCCACTTCTCCTTTCTGACCGTCACTTTCCTCCTCTCTTAAATAGTTTAATAATGCTTAAATACTTGCAAGATAGTTGTGGGAAGAGTACTTTCTAAATCTTAAAGTGAGGGCTGAGATTACAATGCCTGCCTTCATGGAACTTACTTTAGATGGAATGCAAACTCCCTCAGGGTAGGAATTGTTTCTTTTCACTTCTTTCCCCTCTCCTTCCTTCCTTCCTTCCTTTCTTTCTTTTTCTTTTTTCTTTTTTTCTTTCTCTCTTTCCCTCTCTATCCCTTCCTCTCTTTCCCTTCCTCTCTCTCCCTTTCTCTGTCTCTTCTCTCCCTTTCTCTCCCTTCCTCCCTCTCTCTTATAATGGGCATTTAATAATATTTGTTAATTGACTGCTAAATTGAAATCAAGTAAGTCCCTTCTCTTCTCTGGGACTCAGCTTCCTGCTTGACTATAAGGAGCCTTTCTATGTCAGGCAAAAGAGTTGGAATTTATTTTTTAATAATAATAATTGCTAACATTTGTGCAGTACCTTAAGCTTTGCAAAACACTTCATATATATATTATATATTTGCATATATATATATATTCTTTGCAAAACACTTCATATGTGTGTATATATATATATATGTATATATCTGTGGCTTGTGGAAGGAAATGTTTCATTGCCCTGTGGTCAGTCTTAGATATTCAAATCCCTGCCGCATGGAATGAAAGGGAAATTTTCATTTTTTATTGATTGACCAAGGATTTGAAATGTCTAAGGATACCTTCTGTATCTCCTCCTATCAGCTCCTACAGAAAGGCTGGAAAATGGGCCTCTGTTTTTCTCAGCAAACTCAGTCTTTCCGACTACATACTGCATATTTCTTAGCACCATGTAGAATTTTTACAAAAGTTAATCCCGTAGT